GTGAAACGTAACGCTAGTTCTGCCAGTGCTGTGCTGGGAAGTCGCTCAAGATCAACTGGCGACAAGAAGTCAGCCCCTAGACCCGTGGACGCCCAGGAGCAGGAGTGGGGGAGGGGGAGGAGGGGGGGAGGGGCACGGGGAGAGGGGGGAGGAGGATGCACACAGAGGAGCAGGGTCCTCCTCCTCCTCCTCCTCCTCCTCCTCCTCCTCCTCCTCCTCCTCCTCCTCCTCCTCCTCCTCCTCCTCCTCCCTGTTGGGTCCCCACGCCCACTGCGGCCTGGCTGCTTCCCCGCGTTTCACGGCTTGAACGCGCTGCCTTGCACCTTCTCTTGGCTGCCATGGTGAAGGGTGTTCGTGCTTCCCCACGGCGGGCTACAGGAGGGAGTTGTGGTGGCGCGCTCGAGCCCCTTGCCGAGGCAGCGTACCTCACCGCCATATGGCCACCCACCCCGCAGGAAAGTGCTTGCGCGGTGGGTCGCCAGGCTGGCCCATCCAGAGGAGAGGGCCAGCTCCAACCCCCAACGCAGGGGCCACGCACCGACCCCCCAGCGCCCGCCGCCGCCGCCGCTGCCTCCTCCTCCGCAGCCGCTGTGGAGCGAGGCGGCACTGTTTGGCCTGATTCTGGCAAGCTTGGTCTCTTCAAGTTGTATGCTTCGATTTCCTGTTGGTTAAAACATGCACTGCGGCGAATTGTTGCCACCCTACGTTGTGGCCAGAGCTCGGCCGAGCTATCGGATCATGTGTTGCCCCAGCCGTTGTGGAAACGCTTCGGGGAACACGTGGGGGGAACGAAGAAGCGGAGGAGAGGTCTCGTCGGGCTTTCCTGGACGTTCTCTCGGAGGCCTCTTGGGGGCCTCTTGAGGACCAGTTGGGCCGTTTTGGGCCCATCTTGGACCGTCCTGGATGCATCTCGGGCCGTCTTGGAGACATATTGAAGCCATCTTGGATTTCCTTGGGACCATCCTGGCCGTCTTGGGGGCTATGTCTTGGAGGCCATTTTGGGGCCGTCTGGAGCGGGAAGGCCGATGAACTGGGAAATTTACGGGCCCGTTTGGAGCGGGAAGACCGACGACGTGGGAAGTGTACAGGTTACATTCCGTGCCAGCGGATTTGGCCGAAGGCTTTTTAGAACCTTTCAAACTTAGTCGACAAATGCCCAATGTTCGGCTCGCCGTGCACCCCTGTGGCAAGCCACAGGGTGCGGCAGATCGAAGACGCTTGCGGCGAATAACCGCCGCCCCCTGCCTTTTTAAGATATTCCTATGTGACTAAGCGTTTGAGCAAAGTTTGGTCGCGCTATTGGACCATGTGTTCCCCCAGCCGTTGTGGAAATCCTTCGGGGAACACGTGAAGGAAGAGGACGATGAGAGGGAGGACAAGGGGGGATGAGGAGGAGGAGGAGGAGGAGGAGGAGACTTCTTGGGATCTTCTTAGGTCATTCTTGGGGCCTCCTGGGGGCTTCCTTGGGGCCTCTTGGAGGCCTCTTGGGGGTCTCATTTGGCCTCTTGAGGGCCTTGCGGGGCTTCTTGGGGGCCTCTTTGGCAGTCTTGGGGCATTCCTGGTCCGTCTGACGCCATCGGAAGCCATCTTCGAGGCGTCCGTGAACGGACTTAGGGGCACTCTTGGGTTGCTTCAGGGCCGTCTTGGAAGCCATCTTGGGCGTCTTGGATGTTTCTTGGGCCATCTTGGGGCCCTCTTGGGGCCGTCTTGTGGGCCTCTTGGGCTCTTGGGGCCATGTTGGAGGCCTCTTGGGCGATCTTAGGGGGGGGCCTGTTTGGCCGTCTCGGGCAGTCGGAAAGCCGAAAAGATGCAAATTCCACAATCCTTCAAAAGTCGTAAGAATACCAAGTCCTTCCAGCACCGTCAGAAAACCAATGGTTCTGGCCTCTTCAGTCCTTCCTGGAGGCCTCTTGGGCCGTCTTGAAGGCCTCTTGGAGGCCTCTAGGGCCGTCTTAGGCCATCTTGGGCCCATCTTAGGCCATATTGGCAGCTTCTTGGGCGGACTTGGAGGCATCTTGGACCCTCATTGGCCGTCTTGGAAGCCATCTTGGGCCCATCTCAGGCCGTCTTGGCAGCTTCTTGGGCGGACTTGGAGGCATCTTGGATCCTCTTGGGCCGTCTTGGAAGTTATCTTGGACCATCGTGGGCGAACTTGGAGGCCATCTTGGGCCATCTAGGTCGTCTTTTTGCCGTCTTGGACACCATCCAGGGTCCGACAATCCACCACCCGGGCATTTTCCGGGTGGCCGGCGCGCTGGGCCGAAGCCCCAGGGCAGTTTTGAAAATAACCAAAAACAGCCAAACATGCAGCACGCCAGGCGCCCTTGTGATACATCAAACGGGGCCGGCGGATCGAAGACGCCTACGGTGAATCACCGCCGCCCCCTGCCTTTGGACTCGCCCATGCGGCCGAACGTTGTGGCCAGAGCTCTGCCAAGCTATCGGACCATGTGTTCCCCCAGCCGTTGTGGGAACCCTTCGGTGAACACGTGGGAGAGGATGGCGAGGAAGATCAGGAGGAGGAGGAGGGGGAGGAGGGGGAGGAGGAGGAGGAGGGGGAGGAGGAGGAGGAGGAGGAGGAGGAGGAGGAGGAGGAGGAGGAGGAGGAGGAGGAGGAGTCGAAGACCGCCCGCTTGAAGCTCGCAGCATTCAGGGGTGCGGCGCAACGAGGACCGCGTACAGCTCGGCTCGGCCCAGCGGGCTGCTAGTCCTCGGTCATCATCATATCTGCTGACGATCGGGAGTGGGCGGCGGCGGCGGCGGAGGCTCACCACGCTCGGCCGCGGCCAGCGCGGCCAGGCACTCGGCACGCCGCTGCTCGCGCCGCCGCTGCTCCTGGCGGTGGCACTCCGCGGCGGCGTTCAGCAGCTCACGCCCATGGAGCATCTGGTGGCACCCTTGGCGCCTCCTGGGCGCTTCCTGGGGGCCTCTTGGAGGCTTCTCGGGGGCCTCCTTGGGCCTCCTGGGGGCCTTTGGCCATCTTGGGCGTCTTGGATGCCTCTTGGGCTTTCTCTTGGGACCCTCCTGGAGGTCGGCGATCTTGGGGGGCCCCTGGGCCGTCTCGGGCCGTCAGAAGGCCGAAGAGAAGCAAATGCCACAATCCTTCACAAACCGACGGGAAATCAATGACGTGTACATCTGCACGCCGTCCTGGAGGCCCTCTTGGGGGCCTCTCGGGCCGGCCAGCTCGGGCCCATCTTGGGCCGTCTTGGCGGCTTCTTGGGCGGACCTGGAGGCATCTTGGACCCTCTTGGAAAAAACTCGGAGGCCATCGTGGCCGTCTTGGAAGCGATTGGGCAACTTTTTCGGCGGCTTACGCGGCCTTCGGGTGGCCTTCGGGTGGACGGCGCGCTGGGCTGAAGCCCCAGGGGGAGTTTTAACATAACCAAAAACCTTATGAATATAGCACGCCGGGCACCCCTATTGGCACAGGGGACGGCTGATTGAAGACGCCTACGGCGAATCACCGCCGCCCCCTGCCTTTTAGGATTCGCCCATGCGGCCGAACGTTGTGGCCAGAGCTCTGCCAAGCTATCGGACCATGCGTTCATATGCGTTCCCCCTGCCTCTGTGGAAGAGGATGCGGAGAGGGAGGACACATGAACATGAGAAGAAGGATGAGGAGACCTCTTGGAAGCTTCTTGGGTCATTGGGGCCTTCCTGGGGGCCTCTTGGAGGCCTCTTTGGGGGCCTCCTTGGGCCTCTTGGGGGCCCTCTCGGCGGCCTTCGGGGGCTTCTTGGGGGCCCTTTGGCCGTCTTACGGCGTTCCTGTCGCGTCGGAGACCGTTTGGGAGCCTCTGGGCCGTCTGGGGGCCTTCTTGGGGCGCTTCAGGCTCGTCTTGGGGCCCATCTTGGGCGTCCGAGAGGCCTCGTGGGCCGTCGTGGGGCCCTTTCGGGGCCGTCCTGGGAGCCATTCGGGCCGCTCCCCAGCCATCTTGGAGGCCTCTCGGCCGAGCTCGGGCCTTCTTGGGGGCCTCGGGCCGTCGGACGCAGGAAACGTCAAACGCTGTGGAAAGCCTGAAGCGAGGCAGCGATCTTGGCATCTCCTGGCCTTCCTCGATCACCACCCACCAAACCACCCCAACCCAACCCGAAGGCTACAATTTGCCCTCCATTTCCGTTAGGGGGGGGGTCGGGTAACATTGTAAAAGCACATGGAACCCATACTTCCCCCAACCCGAAATTCGATTCAAGTTCGGGTTTTCGGGTTGGGTTGGAGTGGTCTGGTAGGTAGTCACTGGAGAACCCCTTGGAGGCCTCTTGGGCCGTCCTAGGGGCCGAGGCGCTCCCAGGCGCTCCCAGGCGCTCCCAAGCGCTTCCAGGCGCTCCCAGGCGCTCTCAGGCGCTCCCAGGCGTTCCCGCTCCCAGCCAGGCGCTCGGGTCCGTGTTTGGGCTCTCTTGAACTATCTTGGCGATCTTGGAGGCATGTGGGGACCGTCTTGGGGCCTATCTTGGATTGTCTTGGTGCAGTACTGGCCGTCTTGGAGGCATCTTGGAGGCCATCTTGGCCGTCTTGGAGGTCATTCGACCCAGAGGTTTCCCAGGTGGCCAGCGCAATGAGCCAAAGCCCCCATGGGAGGTTCTAAAAGAACCCAAAACCATCAAAGATTTAGCACACCAGGCACCTCTGTGATAAATCAACCCCGCTACCGCGCCTGGGTTGTAGGTTATATGCTTCTGGGATGCCTGTGGGGATCTCTTGTGGGGCCTCCCGTAAGCCGCTTGGATTCGGTTTGGGGGTGTCTTTGGGGCCTCCTGGGGGGTCTCTTGGGGGTCTCTTGTGGCCTGGGTCTCTGGGGGGCCTTCTGGAGCTTGTGGGGGGCCTCTTGGGGGCCTGCTGGCGGTTTCGGAGGCCATCTTGGAGCGAAGGGCTCGACTTGTCGGTTCGTCTTCCCCCTCGGGGGCCTCTGTCGGGCCCCTCTCGGGGCCCCATTTGGCCAGACGGAGGCCTTTATGGCCGACTTGGGGCCGTCTTGGGCCGTCTCGGGGCGCTCTTGGGGGCCTCTTGGGCCATCTTGGGGCGATCTTGGAGGCTTCTTAGCCTTAGAGCGTCGGAAGCCCAAACAGGCGAGAACACCACAATCCTAAAACCTGAGACTGGCATATCGGATCTCGGGGCCCTTTTGGGCGGGGACTCTTGGCGACCTCTTGGAGCGTCTTGCGGGCCTCTTTGGCCGTCTGTGGACCACCTTTGGCGTCTTGGAGCGATCTCTGGGCGACTCGGGGCCATCTTGGACCGTCTTTGGCCTCTCGTGGCCCTCTTGTCCTGCGTGGGGCCTTCTGGCCTCTGGAGCAGTCACGCGACCGACCCCGGCCGCGCCCAAGAGATCTGGGGATTTGGGCCCTCGGCCTCTTAAATGGTTTATGTACTGTTCGATACAAAGAACTCGACGAATGGACCTGAGGACACTCCAACTCGTGCCTGAGGGCACGGTGGGTCTTCAAGCACTGCACTCCCTTGTCCGACCTCGGCGCTGCAGACACTTGATGAAATTGACCGCGCTGCCATGCGCGCAGCGTGGGCCAGAGGTCACACAGGGCCTCTCTCTCCACCGGACCTGCTGTTCTACGCAACGGCACGTGCTGGGGACATCCGCATTGAGTGTGCAATTGTGTGTACAGCTCACACTACTGTATAGTCCGCATTATGGAGTGTGTGTGTGTGGTTGGGCGATTATCCTTCGAATATAAGTTCGATGGACGTGAAAGTATCTTCCCCGTTCCAGACGCTTATGCACTCATCTCCCCCTCACATTTCCCTCATTCTGCGCCTTCGCGCATTATTCTTCCTCTCTAGTGCCCCGTGATTCTCCGCTTCTTCCCTTTGCACCGTGTGACCTGGGCCCTGAGCGGTTCTCAGTCAGCCGGGCGGGGAGCCCCCCCCGAGGGACTGAGGGCAGATTCGCCCAGATCCTGGGACTGATGGGCAGGGTGGGATCCGGGTTTCCTCCTACACGATGGCCTCCCCTCCCCTCCTTCTCATAGATTATCCTCCGCCTGCTTCCCCATCCCACCTCTCTCCTGCCTCCTGCATCCCGCCTCCGCCACTCTCCCCCGCTCCTTCGGGAGAGAGCTGCACGGGTCTGTGGGCAGGCGAAGATGAAGCTCGAGAAAGAGACCATGGAGGGAAAGATCAAGGAATTTAGCGCGGAGACCGCGACGCTGGCAGAAGAAAAGGTCCCCCCCTTAGAGTCAAGATATGGTGTGCGTGTATATATATATATATATATACACCTATTTATATATTTTTACACGGCCGGGGAGCACCCCCCCCCCCCGGGAGCGCACCCCCCCCCCGAACGAATTTCGGATTTTCCATCCTGCCAGGGCGCTCTCCCTGGCTCTCCCCAGCGCTGACCGGCGGCCTGGAATCGCCTTGGACAGCCCCCAGACACGGCCACGCCGCCCGAAGACGGCCCCGGGAAGCTTGACATTGACAGCCAAGGAACTTTAACAATTCCTACAAAAACAAGAGGTCCCCACCCGCTCACAAGGCCGCCCAGGGAGCCACCAAGAAGCGCCGAAGAAACCCAAAACTATAATCTTCTAATGTTTAGGAACGATTTTGGCTTTCTCGCCTCTCGCCCTGCCAAACTCAAAGACACACGAAAAGGCACCTAAGACCGCTCCACGACGGCCTAACAAGTGGCCGAAAGCGAGCCCCGAGAGACGTCCAAGATGGCCCATGACAGCCGCATGACGGCCCCAAAAAGAGCGCAGAGGCACCCAAGGCCGCTCCAACATGGTCCAACCGATCGCGAAATCAGCTTCCCGACGGCCCACAAGGCGGTCAAAACGGCTTTCAGACGTCCCCGCGGGGCCAGGAGGCCTCCAAGATCGCTTGAAGACGGCCCGCCCGATCCGAGGGGCTCCCCGAGAGGGCTTGCGGGCCCCAATCGAGCCTCCAAGATGGCCCAAGCAAGGCTGATGACCTCCCCAAAGGCCCAACTTGACAGCAAACGAGCATAACAGGGCGTCGTCTCGTCGTCGTCTTCCTGCTGCTCCTCCTCCTTGAACTCCTCTTCCTCCTCCCCCTCCTCCTCCTCCTCCTCCTCCTCCTTCTCCTCTCTCGCCCCCGCGTCGTCTCCTCCTTCCTCCTCAACCTCCTAGAAGAAAGAAGTAGAAGCGAAGTCCGAACCACGCCGAAGGCAACTGGGCCCTTGGGAGGACAGCCGGCGGGCTCCCCCGAGTGGCCCTTCCTCCCTCCCCCAAGTGCCCCTGCCTCCCTAACCCTGCTCCTCCTCTTCCTGCTCCCTCCCATCGGGGATCCAAGAGACCCCCCAGATCCCTGTAGGAGTGCTACGGTTCGGAAAGCCCAACGACGTCCAAGACCGAACGTCTCGACGAGCCCCCCGCGCAAAGCCCACGCCGACGTTCTGCAAGGCCGCTTTCCCCGAAGTCGCATCAGCACGCCGCCTGGCACACCCCCCGTCTGACGCGCCTCATTCTGGCCAGAATCCTGGGTTCGCATCCATTTGAACACAAATTTGGTTGCGAACCCGGGATTCGAAGGGTTTCCTCTGGGAACCGCTCCCCTCACAAGAATCGTGGCATCCGGGCGCGAAAGTAAGAGCTCTCCGCTCCAACAGGCTATTCACAAACCACGCGGCCCGAAGAAGAGCGCCCAGAAGCACCGACGACTTCCAACAAGCGCCGAAAGGCCTCCAAAAAATCTGAGGAGTCCTCCGAAGAAAGCACTGAGAGTCACAATTGATCGATTTCCCCATAGCGTTTGAAGGATTTGTTCTTTCTCTCTTGCTCGACCGTCCGACGTTGCAAGCGGCCGTTGAAGCCCGCCAACCCCTTCCAAAACGACCCCAGAGGCTTCAAAGCGAACTCCCATAATCCTGAAGACAGCACCACCCAGGCCCAAGAGATGCCCAAAACAGTCCCCAAGAACCGCGTGCCGCCAAGCCTCAGAGACAACCGCGCATGAAGACAAAACCATCTCACTCTGCCGTCTCAGTGTAACAACCCCCTCCATCCGCAACCTGCCCCACTTCGTGATGCATAACCGCGAGGGCCCCTCAAAGGACTCCCAGGATAGCACGAATGCCAGCTGATCCAGAGCTTCAAGGAACAAGGTGCATGGCGCGAAGCGCCAATGCAGTCTTGTATATATATATATATATACATTTCGGAGGTTGGGGGGAGGTCGCAGTGGAACGGAGACCCCCAACCGGGAAATCGTTTCGTTTCGTTCGTGTGCGTGCGGGCGAGGCGAAGCTGCTTGGGCGCGCGAGAGGAATGAACCCGCCGTTGCTAGGGCGAAGTCCAGACAAATGATTCTCCTCCCTCCGTCCGTCCGTCCGGCAGTGGCCCCAGCGGTGTCCCGCGGTGTCCCGTGGTGTCCCGTGGTGTCCCGTGGTGTCCGCCGTTGCTAGGGCGAAGTCAAGACAAATGATTCTCCTCCGTCCGTCAGTCCGGCGGTGGCCCTAGCGGTGTCCCGCGGTGTCCCGTGGTGTCCCGTGGTGTCCTGTCGTGTCCAGTGGTGTCCCGTGGTGTCCCGTTGAGTGAGGTTGATAGTGAGATCGATAGTGAGATCGATAGTGAGATCGATGTGGTGTCCTGAGATGTCCCGTGGTGTCCCGTTGAGGGAGATCGATAGTGAGATCGATAGTGAGATCGACAGTGAGATCGACAGGTGTCCCGTGGTGTCCCGTTGAGTGGGAGCGATAGTGGGATCGATACTGATCGATACTGAGATCGATACTGAGATCGATGTGGTCCCCGAGGTGTCCCGTGGTGTCCCGTGGTGTCCCACAAAGTGAGATCGATAGTGAGATCGATCGTGAGATCGACATGTGTCCCGTGGTGTCCCGTGGTGTCCCGTTGAGTGAGATCAATAGTGAGATCGATAGTGATATTGATAGTCAGATCGATGTGGCGTCCCGAGGTGTCCCGTGGTGTCTTATGGTGTCCCGTTGAGTGAGATCGATATTGAGATCGGTAGTGAGACCGATAGTGAGATCGAGAGGTGCCCCACGGTGTCCCATGGTGTCCCGTGGTGGCCCGTGGTGGCCCGTGGTGTCCCGTTGAGTGAGTCGATAGTGAGATTGATCGTAAGATCGACAAGTGTCCCATGGTGTCCCGTAGTGTCCCGTGGTGTCCCGTTGGGTGAGATCGGTATTGAGATCGATTGAGTCAGATGTTGGTTCCCCCCTTCTCCCCCCCGACAACCTCTTTATCACCCGACGGGTGGTCGTATAGGTATAGGTGTGTATATATGCATCTATATATACACACATATATATATATGCATATGTATGTATGTATGTATGTATGTATGTATGTTTGTTTGTTTGTTTGTATGTATATATATATATATATATATATATATATATATATGTAGATTTGCACATTCACTTACACACATACACACATATATATATGTGTATATATGTATATATATATATATATATATACACGTGTATATGTGTATGTATATGTATATATATATATATATATATATCGGAGTAGGCCGGGGGAGGGCCCAGAACTGCGACCTCTGGTTCGCATGGGGGGCCGGAGGGGCCTTGAGGGCTCCAAGAGGGTTCAGAAGGGTCCCAAGACCCCCCAGAGGCTCCCAAGCTGGTCCAAGAGGCGCCCAAAGCGCCCCAGGTTGTCTGGAAGGTGGTTGAAGAGCGCACTGAGATGGCTTCCAGACGGGCCACGAGCGCTCGAAGACAGCCCTAGACTGCTCCTAGACGGCCACAAGGGCACTCAATACGTCCAAGAGGCCGCCGAGAAGGCCCTCCAAGGGCAAAAATCAAGCATTGCCGATGGAAAAACGTATATTTCCTGGATATTTGCTTTTCAGTCCTACCAGCGGCCGCGACGGCCCCAGAGGCTCCCAAAATGAGCCCCAGACCGCCCAAGAGGCACCCAAGAGGACCCCCAGACGGCCTGAAGAGAGCTTCAAGCAGCACAAGACAGCTCCAACACGGCCCAAGAGAGTACCCAGGAACCCCGATGGAGCCACCGGAGGATCCCTACATGGTCGGAGAGGGCACCCCAAGGGCCCCAAGACGGGCTCAGGTCCCCATGACGGGCGAAGAGGAACCCGGAGCAGCCGAATTGGGCTCCTAGAGGGTCCAAAAAAGGCCGACCAGGACCCCCTGAAGACGGTCCAGGAGGCCGCTGAGAAGGCTCCCGGGAGCAAAAAAACAAACATTTCCATTGGAAAAACGTACATTTCTATGACGTTCGCTTCTTATGTTCCATCGGCGGCCACGTCGGCCTCAAATGCTCCCCAAATCGGCTCCACACGGTCCACGACTGTCCAAGAGGCCGCTGAGAAGGCCCTCCACATGCAAAATCAAGCATTGCCGATGAAAAAACGTACATTTCTGGAAGCTTCGCTTTTCAATTCTACCAGCGGTCGCGAGAAGTTGCCAAAATGGGCCCCAGACGGCCCCAGAGGCCCCAAAGAGGGTTCCAAGATGGGCTGAAAGAGCTTCAAGCGGCACAGAAGTCTACAAGACGGCCCAAGAGAGCCCCCAGGAAGCCCGAGGGGGCCACCAGAGGATTCCTACATGGTCGGAGGGGGCCCCAGGAGGGCCCCAAGACGGGCTGAGCTCCCCACGACGAGCCAAGGGGGACCCAGAACGGCCGAAATGGGCCCTCAGACGGGCCAACAAAGGCCCCGAAGGACTCCAAAGGAAGGCCCGGAGAGGCTCCAGAGACTGCCACAATTCTTCCAAAAAGGCTCCCAGCACGCGTTCCAGTAGGCGCCCGTGTACTTGGTGCGTTGAAAGAAGAGAGGAGGAGGAGGAGGAGGAGGAGGAGGAGGAGGAGGAGGAGGAGGAGGAGGAGGAGGAGGAGGAGGAGGAGGAGGAGGAGGAGGAGGAGGAGCAGGAGCAGGAGCAGGAGGAGGAGGAGGAGGAGGAGGAGGAGCAGGAGCAGGAGCAGGAGGAGCAGGAGGAGGAGGATTGTTGTGATGGTGATGGTGAAGGTGACCATGACGATGACGATGAAGATGACAGAGATGGCGAGGACAATGATGGCGATGATCATGACCCTGGCTAGAACTTGAGCGCACGCGAAGCGCGCGCGATGGGTCTGGTGTATATACATATATGTACGTGGAGAGAGCGGTATATATATAGAGAGAGAGAAGACACAAAGACAGGCACTGACATATTGGTACGGAGACATGGGGACAAAGTGGATCGAGGGCGAGAGAGGGAGGAAGAGAGAGAGAGAGAGAGATAACGGGAGATAACGGGAGAATGAGGGGGAGAGAGAGAGAGAGGGAGAGAGAGGGTGGAGAGAGAGAGAGATAACAAACATAAGATAGGGATCTCTATACATATACACATATGTATGACCATCTATGTATATATATATATAGCGAGAGAATGAAGTTGAGAAACAAAGAAAGAGAAGAGAGGGAGAGAGACACCGAGAGGAATACATATATATAGAGAGAGAGAGAGAGAAAAAAAAAGAGAGAGAGAGAGGTGGACACTTGCTGGTCAACACTCCCATTCGTGGGTCGGCTTCTTGCCGCACCGCTGGCTCTCATCTGGGCACATGGAGCTGAGAACAGCAATCACAATGCCGCGCGCCGAGGGCCCCCACGACGACGACGAGGACCACGACGACGACCACGACAACGACCACGGCGACGACGACGACGAAGATGACGACGATGACGATGACGATGACGATGACCGCGCGCGGGGTTGCCGCGATGCCCCCTTGCAAGTGTGTGAATATACACGCGCGACAAACGCTTCTCGGGGCGGATGTCCCTAACGCTCAGGATCCCGATCCTGGCTCCGTATCATTTCTGAGCCCACGGGGCGGTTTGGAGGGCAGGGCCCATGAATCAGGTCATCGTTGCTGGCACAGGCAGTGTCGCCAGCGCTGCCCGCGCAGTCACCGCCTCTGCAGTTGTATTCGCCAGAACGTGGCTCCTAAGAGACACTGCGCTGCCGCCACCACCACCACAGGTAGATGTCTTCCCTTGCATGACGCAGATTTTATGTCAATCGCTGCTGACTCGCAGTGCTTCGTTATTCGGCTCACTGATCTCGTTATATGATAACGGTGGGCCGCCTTCAGCGTGCATTCGACCGCCTATTACATAACGTCCGACGGCGCACTACACGATATTCGGGGAGATCCAATATTCCCGCCTCAATCTGGAGGTGAGATCGAAGCCAGCCGAGGCACATGGAGGTGATGCCTGTTCTCTGTTCGCGGTTGCAGAGGTAAGGGGGAGGATGAGGAAGATGAGGAGGGGGTGGAGAATAGTCATAATGATACTACGATCAAGAAACATAGCACTATACATACTACATATAGTACAAGCATGAATAATATTACTAATCATAATACGAATGAGTCGTAATGGTAATCATCGAAATGATAAGAGAGGACGAGGAAGGACAAGGAGAAGGAGAAAGGGGCGTCCATCTCCGGTCGGCCAGAGCAGGCGGAGATGACGAGGCAGACGGAGAAGTTCCGCATCACGATGGAGGAGAGCATGGCCGCGGAGAAGGCGCAGGCCGCGAAGAAGATGGCAGATTTCCTCGTCGAGTCCGAGCGCAGGATCGCGGAGAAGGAGGCGCCCGGCACGGCCCGGCCCCTCTCCGCAGCTTGCTCGGCCCCCCAGCTCCGCTTCTCCCTTTCTGCCGCTGTGGATGCTGCTGCGCCTCCTCCAGATCTGCATCCACTGTCTCGTCGCGGAGGCGGAGGCATCACTGCGACACCAGGGGATATGAGAGGTGCTTTTTCGCTGGCCTCGCTCGACGATGCGGGACCGCTCGGAGGTGCTGGAGCGTCCGTGCGCACGCCTGAGCCTCGACCATCAGAGGCTTGAGCCAAAATGCTTTGAGCATCATCGGACGGGGCTTGGACGAGAATCAATCCGTCCTGGAGCGTTCCGTTACGCTCTCAGAGCGTTCGGGAACGCTCTGAGAAGGCCGCGGCGCCCGAGACATCCTCCGGAGACGCGGGATCAGAGATTCTCGATTTGTCCTCACCTGTTTTGATCTTCGCCTTGGCTTCGTCTTACATCAGAGCGTCGCGCCATCGCGGGGCGCGGTTTGCGAAGATAGGAGACATAGCGTAGATAGGAGGAGGGCCTGGACGAGGAGGAGGAGGAGGAGGAGGAGGAGGAGGAGGAGGAGGAGGAGGAGGAGGGGAGGAGGAGGAGGAGGGGGGAGGAGGAGGGGGAGGAGGAGGAGGAGGAGGAGGGAGGAGGAGGAGGAGGAGGAGGAGGGGAGGAGGGGAGGAGGAGGAGGGGGAGGGAGGGGGAGGAGGAGGGGGAGGAGGGGGAGGAGGAGGGGGAGGGGGGAGGACCTCGGAGGAGCTGGGCCTGGACCCAGCGCTCGCCCCCGAGATCCCGGAGGCCCACGGCGGGCTGGCTTCCCCCCAGACGGCGCCCGGAGCCCCACGGGCAGCCCCGGGGTGCCAGGCACGCACCGAGCGGACCGCGCGGCGACGCGCCCTCGGCTGGAGCATCCAGAGCCCTCCCAGACCTCCTCGCGTTGTGAAAACAAAATCGCGGCGGGAGGATTTTCGCTGTGTTCGGCCCCTAGCGGCCCTCGCCAGGCCTCAGGACCGTCAAGAAGCGGTTCAGGATGGAAAAGCGGTCCAGGGGAAGGGGTGCAGACCTCTGGGGTTCGGCGCTGTGAGCAAAGCACGACGTCGGGGGTCTGGGCTCCCCGCTGCTCCACATCACATTTGAGAGTTTTTTTTTCTGGGCCATGACGCGCGTTATGCCCCCCCTACCCTCTCCCCGCCCTCTCCCCCCCATAGCTCAACGCTCCCCACTCGGTGCGTCCACGGGACTGCCGCAGAGCGTCCGGCACCACAGTTTTTTTGTGGGGGGGCGTTACGTTGTGCCCCCCCCGTTCCTCCCCCCCTCCCCCCTATAACGCCCGTTGTTGTGGCTGCGAATAGAAGAATGCGCTCTTCGAGCAGCTAGAGCCCTCCGGCGGCGCAGCTATGCTGTGGTTATATTAACTTCCATGAGCGATGCTCGAGGGGGAGGTCGTCATCGTGGCCGAGATCTGCAGGGGGCGACACAGTTGGAAAGGTGCCGATGCCGCTACCTTTCCCTCGTTTTCGCCCTTTGGCGCCTCCTGGGAGGTCCTCGTCGCCACGGCCGAATTCGCTTCAAAATATTGGTCAGAACGCACGCTGGGAGAGGCCCGTGGACTGGCGGTATCGGTACCTTTTGGTTTCCCCTATCCTCGCTCCTACTCGTCGTCTTCATCCTCCAGTCCCGCGCTTCTTTTTCCCAACCCTCCTGCGTTGGTTCCGCGTTTTGAATAGTGCACTGCGTTCACGTCTTATATCCCACTTCCCTCCTGCTCTCTCCTCTTTCCTCCTACATCCTGCCTACGCCATGCCTGCGAGGTGGATGCGAAGTGTGAATGTGTCGCCTCTTTCTAGGGCTGCTGGTGGGTCCAGCATACAGTGGGGGCCATGTCAATAAACACCCTGCTTGCATCCAGGGTACCCTGGGTTTCCTGGGTTTCGATGGTTTTGCTGTGGAAGGCGTGACGTTCCCACACCAGAAATCGATGGACGTCTTGGGGTCTCAGGGTTGGGTTTCTTGTGGAAGGTTTCAGAAAAACATAAGCATAATAATATGTCGGAGGTCCGCGCTGACTTCTTGGATCGGCGCTGGAGACCCCTCCCCGACGAGCAAATTTAAGGGGAGACCCAGCGCTGGTCCAAGAGATCCGCGCGTAATTCCGAGAACTTATGTGAATGCCGTCTTTTGTTCTTCTAAAACTGGCATCGCGAGGCCGAGTTTGTGGAGCAGATGAAACACCTCGAGGCGGACTGCCAGCGCAAGATGGACGAGGAGAAGCAGGAGCCTGCTAAGACAAGGGGAGGGGGAATCCCCTTCTTGACCCCTCTTTGCTCTATCATTTCCCCTTCTTCTTACTGTGGGAGGGCGGGGGAGGTCACCGCTCTAACTGTTTTCTCTCTCTCTCTCTCTCCCTCTCTATCCCCGCGGCAGGTGCAAGGGAGGCCCCCCCTCCTTCCTCCTTTCCCTCTGGTGGGGGGGTGCACGGGCGCAAGTTGTTCGCGCATCTGCAGTGTCCTCATATTCGACGTCTTCTCTTTCCTCCCCATCGCTCGGTGAACAGGCAAGCGGCTTCAAGATTTGCCGAAGATGGGCCACGACGGCCCCGAGAGAGGCTCGAACAGGGCCGCCCCCAAGGCTTCTCTGAGCACATCACGGGAGCCCCAGGAAGGCCCCAAGAGGCCCTTGAAAGCCTCGGATCCGAGGCCTGCCTCTGCAAGACTCTTCGCCCCACAGTGGACCTAGGACGGCCCGAGAGGCTTCAGAAGGCCCCCACAGAGCCCCAACAGGGCCTAAGGGCACCCCACACATGAGTTTCAGCGGATCACAGATGGCCACCCAGACCTTGATGAATCGAGGAGCGAAGAGTGGCACAAGCTGTAAACACAAAGCTTCGGAGGTCCGCGCGGAAGCCTCCGAAAGTTTAATGTTTATGGTATTGCCTGCTCCTCGACGGAAGGCGGAGGCGAAGCCCGGAGAAGGCTCTCCACTCTTGGCTCGCCCTTCTCGCCGAGCGCGGCCCACTACTCGCAGAGCGCCTACTGGCAAACGTCCGAAAAGTTTGCCTTGATGCAGCGGATCTCGCAGGCTCAGAGGTTGACACCAGCACCAATATCGGCGGTGTGCCTCCACTGAGGGACGAAGGTCCCGATCTCGGTGATGGTGGTAATATTCTGGCTTTCAAGGTGACCGAAACATTACCACCAACACCGAAATCTGGGATCATCTTCCCCCTATGGCGGCAACCCCCTGTGTTGGTGTTGGCGCCCATTTCCAGGCCCCCGAGGATCGCAGATCCCCCGCGGCGGACCCGGGCCATGTGCGAGCAGTTGCTCTGCGAGTCGAGGAGCGCGCCTGGCCAGGAACGGCCATCGCGTCGGGCTGCCGGCCACACCTCCGGCTGCCGGAGGCGGGGCAGGGAGGTGCCCCCCCCCCCCTCGGGACCACAAGGGCTGGAGGCAGCAGCGCAGGGAGCTGCTCCGGGCCACAGGCCGCCAAGAGGAGCTGCGGGATGGTTCGCGTGATTCCTCCGCCGTCTTTTCTTCCTCTGCAGCGATGGCCGCGCGGCAGGAGCTCGCAGTGAAGACGGCGGAGTTCCGCGCCGAGACGGAAAAACTGGCCTCGGAGAAAGCCGAGATGGTTGGCTCTTGCATTTTCCTCGAAGAGGAAACACGACACAAGCATAAACTTTTGGCGTTCCGCGCGGATTTCTTGGATCTGCGATGGGGCCCCCTGGGGGCGCCTCCGGCGCCGCCCCTGGCGCGCTCTGCGCGCCAGAGAGGGGGGTCCAGCGCAGATCCAAGAAGTCTGCGCGGACCGCCGAAAGTTTATGTTTGTGCAGTTTGTGCCTCCTCCATTTTCTCGATGCCCAGTTTCTCTCTCTGGCTAGGCCTCCGCCTCCTCATCCTTCCTCCTTCCTTCTCGCCTTCCTCATCCGCACTTGGTTGTGGTTGCTGCCTTTTCTTTTCACACCGCGTCATTCGCCTCTTTGCCCGGGCCAATGGAAAAGCGTTGCGGGCTGCCAGCTTGTCGAAGCGATGGATGCTCGTTGTGAAGGTACGGCTCAGAAATTGATTAATTTGATGTCCAGAATTTGATCGCTTGAAGCAGTGAGTAACTTGACGGCTTCAGTCCGTTCGAATGCCACTAGCGAGACAGCATAGAGGGGGTGATCTCCGCTGGTCGTCAGTGTGTTCCTGATTGAAAGAGGGTCGGAGAGCTCTCCTTGGAGACATCCTGGAGCCCCCATCGAGGTTCCTGGGACTGCCTCTGCACCCCTCTCCCTCCCTTTCCCATCCCCCACCTCCTCCCCTTCCCCCCCATCCCCACCTCCTCCTTCTCCTCCTTCTCCTCCTCTTCCTCCTCCTCCCGCCCTCTCCTTATCCCACTCCCAAGGAGCCCTCCTCCAGCATCCCTGGGCAGTTTCCAAACCAAGGAGGGGTCCATGCCACGAGGCGGAGCACTTTGGTTGTCGCCAGGCTTTCGCTCATTGCATTGACGGGCTCCTCGGCATGATGGGCAGTCCCGTCCTCTATGCTGTAAGAGGAGGAGTGAGGAGAGAGGAGTACGGAGGAGGAGGAGGAGGAGGAGGAGGAGGAGGGGAGGAGGAGGAGGAGGAGGAGGAGGAGGAGGAGGAGGAGGAGGGAGGAGGAGGAGGAGGAGGAGGAGGAGGAGGAAGAGGAGAATGAGGCGGAGGAGGAGGAGAAGGAGGTGGAGGCGGAGGAGGAGGAGGCCGCCGCTCTGAGGCCAGATCGGGTTTGCGGACGGAAGGTGCACGATCATAGCGTCTGTTTGTTTATCGGCGCACGCCCTCTATCATCCTGCACTTTGTTGCCTCGATGCTTGCGGTCGCTCGACACGTCATCTGAAAGCTGTGCGCCTCACGGCCCGGATGTGTTCCACACAATGGCTGCAAGTTCAGCGGGTGTATATGCGAATGTGTGTAGT